TCCTGCTGACTGCAAAAGGAGTTTTTGAAGACAAGCTGTTTACTACCACAGAGCCTGCCTGAGCAGGTACCACAGTTTTCCCCTCTTTTGCCTCTTTCTTTGCCACAACACTCTTGATCAGGCCGCAATTCTTTCCCTTCATCAGTCTTCTCCTAAATAGTTCGTGATCTGAGTAGCCCCAGAGAAGCATTATCCCTGCTTTACAGGTAGGAAACCAAAGTTTAGCTGTGGTCTGAGGATACCCATCCCTCTTAGGTGTCATTTGACATGGGCCAGGACTGAAAGCACCACTAACAAGGTACTAGCAAACGTGGTTATGAAACAATCCTTGCACCTATTCTGTAGTTTCCTTCCAACAAAAAAAGAGGGGAGGGGAAAGTGAAAAGGTGACAAAGAAAGGAAACAAAATGATTTTGTCCTTCACTCCAGAATAAAAGTTTGTTTACATATAAAAGCGCCTCTAGACTTAGCTGCAGTAAGATGACAGCATGACTGCATCTAGGATTTCTGTAAAACTCTTCTAACATTGAGGGTTTCTTTCTCCCCTTAAAGGAAGACGTAGATTCTTTTATGAAACAGCCTGGAAATGAGACAGCAGATGTAGTTCTTAAGAAGTTGGATGAGCAGTATCAGAAGTATAAATTTTTGGAACTTAATCTTGCTCAAAAGAAAAGGAGGTAAGTCCTAATTTTTGCAGAATTGAGAAATGTTTAGCACAGTTCTGGTTTTTTTTTTTTAAATAAGTCTAGTTTTTTTAAGTATCCCAAGAAGTAAGAAGTTGATGTTAGGAGAGCTAATATTTGCAGTGCTTTCAGGAAAGGCCAGCTTTTTTCTTTCCTCTTCCTGAGAATTACTTGCAAAAGAATTTACAGTATTGCTGAATTGGTCCTTAGCCTTTAAGGCTAAAAAGTGCTGCTTTAGTCTCTTAATTTTGTCAGCCTAGCGTCAATAAGAACACGTTTTTGTCAAGCGACTGCTGTATCAAGCCTGTAGCTTTTGGTTTAGTGATCTCATCCATCTTCAGTAGCTTCAGAATTGATCTGAAGCTAGGCAAAAAGCAAATTTTTAAAAGCTAAAGTCAAAGCTTCGAGTAATATTTAGATGAAACTTCTTTCATGGACGAATATCCCGGGTAATTTCCACCTGGCAGTCGCTGCTGTCCAAGCCTGCTGGTTGCAGAGGAGGGCGGCCCGGAAGGCCAGCGGGGATCCCGGCGTCTCTGCCAGGCTGCTGCAAGGGCTGCAAGGAGGAGGGATGCCCTGACCTCTGGAGAGAGCTTTCGTTTTAACAGTGCCGCGTCTTGTAGCTGTAAACTGTTTGTTTAAATAGTTTGTGGATCTCAGCAGAAACACACTTGTTTTGTTTTATCTGCAGTGTTTTTTATCTGTATTTCTGCTGAGGTTTCCCTCTCCTCCAGGGAGATCAGAAATATGCCAAAAGACACCATTTTAGCAAACAGGTATCTGTTACTGTTAATGTGTGTTTGTTCCAGTTTGGAAGCTGTATGTGTTGCTCTGCTTCAGAAAACCATGGAGCCTCAGTAGGGAAGAGGCAGGTGAAGCTGTAGCTGCGATGCCTTTACATGCCGTGTCTTTCAAAGCTGCGTTTGTAAGCCTGGGAAGCTGTTAGAGTTTCAGGTTTTGAAATGGAGGTTGGATTGTATAATAAAACTGATCACTTGTTTAGGAAACTTTGTGTCTCTGTAAAATAATGAATTATGACTGTTGTTAATTCACAGGCTAAAAAATCAGATTCCTGAAATTAAACAGACATTAGAAATTTTAAAACACATGCAGAAGAAAAAGGTAAATTATTTTGAATATCTAATGAGTATGAGAAAAGCTAACTACCTTTCCACCCTAACAGAACACATTGCAAGAAATGTTTTGGAGAGCACACTTAATATGCCTTTATAAATAACAGAATTGTTTTTAAAGGTATGTAGTACTTTTCGAAAGCTAGTTCAAAAAAGTTAATGTTTGTAATGCAAACTTCACTTGTAATAGTGTATAGATTGCAGCTAAGCTTGGGCTTCATCTCTATTCTCTATAGAGATTTGTGTATTTTTTTTTAAATGCTTTATTCTTGGAGCTCTAACTTGAATGTTTAAGTAAAATGACATAGAGTTCCACCAAAGTTAATACTGTATCAATGACAAAAAGCAAAAAAGTGTGCTCTTTACTGTAAGTTTTGTGCCTTTGACATAAGTTTCTAGTGAAAATAGCAACTTTAAGTTTTATCATTTGTCTTAAGGATTCCACAAATCCAATGGAAACCAGATTTTTATTGGCAGATAATCTCTACTGCAAAGCTTCAGTTCCTCCTACAGATAAAGTTTGTTTGTGGTTGGGGGTAAGTAAAATGGAACTTTCTCTGAAACTGTTTAAATCACTTACAAAAGGCTGATGAAAGGCAGCGTTGGTTGCTGTCTGCTCTGTGCTTCCCGTGGCTGCGGGCATAATCCTGTTCACGTGTGCACAGTGGAGCTGTGTCCTGTCAGCAAACACAACGAGACAATTCCAATGCATTAGTGAAGGTGTTGTATTCGATTTTATTTGGTGCCTGAACAGTAAGCCTTCAGAGGATTGTATTTTGGGTCGATTGTTCTTTCCAAAAAGCATATTCCTGAATGTTTTCCTTACTTCTCTGCCTTTGTGGTTCGAATTACCCTCCAGCATTGCCTGAGATCGGAATTTGCCTGGCAAAATAATTTAGTTTGGCAAGTAGCTTCCCATCTTCTCTACGTTATTTGTATTAAGCATCTTGC